CGGTAGAGTAGTTGGCGGGGCCACTGAAAACTGCCTGAGAGGACAAATGGAAAGAACAGAGCTTTTTGGCCTTGGGAAAAGATAGCTGAAAGCAAGGGCTTTATTATTTATCTGTCTGTCTGTCTGTCTGTCTCCTGCCTTTACTATTTTTATAATAATTCAAGGCAGCAAAGATACCTTCCTCCTCCTCCTATTTTTCCCACAATAACAATCCTCTGAGAATGACTGGCCCAAAATCATCCAGCTAGCTAGACTAGAACTCACAGCCTCATGGTTTAAATACTGGTACCTTAACTTCTAGACCAAACTGGTGCATGAGTGTGTGTGTGTATGTGTGTTTAAAATATCAAGATGGCAGCCATGACAGTGTAATTGAAATCCTGTCCCCCTTTTAGGTATGTGGTGCATGCTATAATGCTGCCATAAAAAGGAACCTGGGCTTTATACCAACCATGAGTTTTTTTAACCTTCTTTTGAACCAAAACAAACTATATAGTGGCATCTGCAGCAAAAACTCAGAACTTTTTTTTTAACATCACCCTTATGAATTATTACTGCAAGCCATAGGAAAGCAAAACCTGGGTGGGGAAGGAAAGGATAGGAAAAGCTTCCCAATCGTAAGAGCAGTCCAGTCATGGAACTAATAGCCAGTATTCAGAGGAGTCTCATTTCCATGGAAAGGCATATGTTGAAGATGCTTTAATCTGAATTCTTGCACTGACCAGGTGATAGGACTCAGTGTCCTACATAGTCACTTCCATGTCCGTGATGCTCTGGTGAGTAGAACAGGCTGGAAATCACCCTTTCACCATCTATTCCTGATGACACCGAAATATTTTGGATTTCAATTCAAATCAGACCCAGCCAGCACAATCCAAATACAGGGAATAATGGGATTTATAGGCTAAAATACCTGGAAAACAGCAAGTACACAAATTCTGCTCTACGATGCAGTTTATTCTATTAAAAAGTGCTATTTATTAATCTTCCCTTTTCTGTAAAAACAAAAGAAAAGGATAAGATTTGTGAGGCAATATTGGGGTTGCTGAGTTCAGAAAAAGAAAAATCAAATAAGGCACTGGTCATTCAGGACGCAAGAGGACATATTGAATTTGTGCAACTGATTTCATAAATGTGAAAAACGGCCATAAGTCGCTTTTTTCAGTGCTGTTATAACTTCGAATGGTCAGCAAAAAAACTGTTGTAAATTGAGGACTACCTGACTGCTGAGGAATTAAGAATCCTGAATTTATACTGGAATCATGGGGAGAAGGGAGAAATTATGCTATATGCTGTCTGGGGAATTCTGGGAGTTGAAGTCCAGATGACTTCAAGCTGCCAAGATTGAGAGTCATTATTCTAGAGCAGTGATGGCTAACCTTTTCGTCGTTGCGTGCCGAAAGTGCACGCACGCACACATGTGCCTGCACCCATAATGCAATGCATGCGCAAACCCCCCTACACTGCACACCTCTGCACATGCGCCCATGACCCCCTGCGTGCGCCCAGTCCCCCTGAGCATGCGCACACATTTCCCCAACAAATGCACGGCAGATACCCAACAATCAGCTGGCTGGTGGGGGGGCGCCAGCACATGCTCAGTGGATCAGTTCTGGGCGATGGCCAGAAATGGCTCTGCGTGCCACTTCTGGCACACATGCCATAGGTTAGCCATCACGGTTCTAGAGGCTCCCTCAAATAGCACACCATATAGCTTAATTATGTTGAAATAATTAGTACATTACATTAGTAGATTACATTCAGGGATGGGATTCTACAGGTTTGCACCTATTCGCTAGAACCGGTTGTTAACATTCTAAGCAGTTCGGAGAACCGGTTGTTAGAAGAAATTACTGGCCAAATCCTGTAAGGAAGGCAGGAAGGAAACATTCTGGTGTTGCTTACAGAAACTGCCTCTCTGTTAACCCTTATTACATTCTTGGCAGGACTAGATTTCCTGTCTCAGGAACTTCTCTGGAGTTTTCCCCCCCCCCCTCCTTTGCTGGTACTTTGCTTGTGTGGAGTGACCATTCAAAGTTACAATGGCACTGAAAAAAGTGACATGACCGTTTTTCACACTTATGACTGTTGCAGCATCCCCATAGTCATGAGAGGCCAGGCGAGGAGATGCCTGTCTTGATGTGAGTGATATTGAGTTGGCCACACCCAGCCAGTCACATGACCACCAAGCCATGCCCACCCAGTCACGTGACCACCAAGCCATGCCCACCACCTAAGCCAGTGATGGCTAACCTATGACACGCGTGTCACTCGTGACACGCCGAGGCACTTTGACTGACACGCCTGTTGGTGTGGGGAAAACCTGCACATTTAGAGGCTGCCTGTGCTCTGCTCCAATCCCTGCTCCCTGCTTGTTGCGTGGAGGCATGGTGTCACCGCTGCCGCAAGATCTTTGCAGCAGAGAACCAGTTTTAACCGCCATAAACTGAGATTTGTCAGTTTCATTACCTCAGGAATGCTACAGGAGGAAAGGAGATCCATGAGGTTCACAGCCCTGTAAGGTGGCCTTCCGATCCCCACATCCTGCACCTGCAGCCCTGAGACCAGGGAGACGAGTTTCACAGCCCTGTGTGATCACCCCAGCCCAGTCCGTCATAAACCAAATTATTGATATTTCTTGAAGTGACACACAACCCGAGGAAGGCTACACTTTTTCCCGATTTTCGACACACCAAGCTGAAAAGGTTAGCCATCACTGACCTAAGCCATGCCCACAGAACCGGTTGTTAAAAATTTGAATCCCACCCCTGTCTGCGTGCCACTTCTGGCACACATGCCATAGGTTAGCCACCACGGTTCTAAAGGCTCCCTCAAATAGCACACCACATGGCTTAATTATGTTGAAATAATTAGTACATTACATTAGAGATTACACTAGACACACACAGCAGTGACATAACAGTTTAATTAACTTCATCTTGACTCTGTTTATTGAAGAAATATCAACTAACGCTAGATATAAAAGAGGAAGAGCAAGGGAAACATTTGTTCCCCTGCTAAAATTTGTCTTCAAAATATAGGAAAAGAAAGTATCAGTGGTGTGATTTCTACCTGGTTTTTGCTTTTTAAAGGTAAGGATTTTTTTTCTAAGGGAAAGGAATGGATTTTTTCTAAGAGAAAAGCGGGGAGGGACTAACTCCAATGGTTTTTTCCCCCTAAGATAAACTACCTAACAATTGTTCAGGCTGAATGCAATAGAGCATGTTTCCTTTCTTGAACATACTTGGTTATTTATTAGATTATATGCCATTTCAATAACAAAATGATTTTATAGGTAGTCCTTGACTTATGGCAGATCATTTAGTGACTGTTCAAAGTTACAACAGACCTCGCTGGGGTAGTTATGACCCAGATTTGAAGTGCTGATAGTCAACTTCCCTTGTAGTCACATTTATAACTGTTTACAATGTCCTGCCCTCATGTGACCAAGTTTTATGATGATTTTGCCAAAAACTGGCATTTATTTCTGTTTTTTGGCAAAACTGCCACATAGTAAACCACGGGTCTGCTTAATGACCAAGGCATTTGCTAAATGGCTGCCACAAAAAAGGTCATAAAATCAGGTCATTATATGGGTGACTTGAGTTACAACCATCACGAGTTATGACTATGATGGACAAAAAGCAAAAGGTTTGAATCTTACACATGGACGGTATGGTCTTGGTGGGCTGTGTTTCTTAACTTTGTTACATCTATTGCAGGGTTGCATACACTATAGTTTCCTTGTGGGCCTCAATTTAAACTAGCCAGGAAATCTGCTGCCACTTTCCATTCATTATAATCAGGTTTTTGACAATACAAAAGCAGCTGCCCACTCTTGTGCTAAACCACATGATCTATCTGTACAGTATATGGATTAGCATGTTGTGTGAGTGCAGCCACAAGGATCTGTCAGGCATGGATAAGGATTGGTATGTTGCGCAAATCTAACCAAATGGAATTTTATTCCATAAACCATGGTTAGGTATCCATTGTGTCATGCAATATGTGAAGCTGGTCAGAACCCTAAAAGAACCATATAGACTTCTGAAATGGCTAAGGACTTTTGAGTTTATCGGAAAAGAGTTCTGTTTAATTTCTTTAACACCCGATATGCTGCTATTTGGAGGCAGCTTGAAAATATTCATGTAGGATAAACATCAAGTCTACGCCACCATGTGGTGTGAGTTTTCAGCTTAAAAGTTTAAGAAAGGAGCGTGGTGCTCACAAGGCTGGCAATTGGCAAGCTCGCGTCCGAGATCCATTCTGCTGCAGGTGAGATGAGCTCCTGTCACACGCTCCAGCTCCTGCCAACCCAGTGGTTCAAAAGCAAGTGACCATGAATAAATAAATGGGTACCACTTCAATGGGCAACTTCATGGAGTTATGAAAGGAGCCCCCAGCTGGGTGTCCCTGGGCAATGATGTTGTCATCCGCAAATCCTTTCCTCACAGAAGCGCTGGTGCTTCTGGCACTGAAATATTAGTATTAAAGGGGTTAACAAACTCAAGGAGAAAAAGATATCCATTATGATCTACTAGTTCCAAACAAATTTGAAGCCTCCATAACTAGGGGCAATCTGGAGTGATGCAGTGGACTAGAGGTGGGGCTCTTGCCTCACAATCAAGAGGCTGTGAGTTCAATCCTAGATAGAGGCAGATATTTCTCTCTGGGCACACTGAGAATATATACTGAATAAAACTCTGCACTGGTGACAGGAAGGGCATCCGGCCATTAAAACACTATGCTTGGCTCCATTCAGCTGCCCAGAACTCCACCTCGCAAGGGATTATGGGGTTGTTAAATGAAGGTGATAACTAGGGACAATCTACCACTAGATTGCATTTGCTAAGGGAAATGATAGGGAAGATATGCCTTCATATTTTGTGTGTAGGTATCAGCTTGACTGTTGTGAAACTGGACTGAAGAGACCCTTGCTCTGCTCTAGCAAGACTTCTCTTAGTTTTTCTAGGTTGACAAGATTTCTTTTGCTCTTCCAGTGACAGGCCGAGCCAGTGAGGAAATGGTTGCTGACTGTGGCTGAATCCACAGCTGCCAGAATATGCAGCCCAGGGGCCTTCCTGGCAGTGCAAAGGCAGCGGACTGCGCCAAGGAGCTGATCACCACGTTGTGCACGGGGGTTGTGGCCGGGAGGCATGGTGACAACTTTCAAGATTGCCGTGCTGGGTGCTCAAGGGGTCGGGAAGAGTGCCATTGTCCGCCAGTTCCTGTACAACGAGTTCAGCGAGGTCTGTGTCCCCACCAAGGCCCGCCGTGTCTACCTACCTGCCGTGGTCATGAATGGCCATGTTCACGACCTACAGATCATGGACTTCCCGCCTATCACCTCTTTCCCTGTAAATACCCTGCAGGTAGGTGTACATCCCACCTGTCAGACTTCAAAAAGGATACTCTCACTGCCAGCTGTAGGTTGCTCTGAATGAGGTGGGCAGTGTCAGCATCCGAGGTCTTACAGGTGGCTGCTCCTGTAAGTGGAGAATTCAGAAGAAGACTATGCCCAGTCTTCCGGAAGTAGATTGAAAGATCCGTGGCAATACTCTGCACTTCCATGGAGAAAATATTAGAGTGAGTAGTTCATGGGGTATACATGCTGCTGGGAGAGGAAAATTCTCCATCTACTCTTACATACACACCCCTTAGAACACATCCCTGGCTATGTATGCTAGGAAAATAAATAGAGCTGCACAAAACCATGTTTAGAAAATTGAGTTCTAAGACAGTTCAGTCAGTTAAGAATCCTTGGTCTCAAGAGATTCTACTCTTTGTCGAGTGGCAGCATTCATGTGTGGCGCATGCTAGTTTTCTATCTTTGCATTAATTCTTTGTCTTTTATTTGGGCTTGTTTAATCGGAAAATTAAGGCTGATAAATTCAAGATGAAGTGGATAATTAGTTAGGTTTTCACAACTGAATGAGTGCAGTTACTTAAACCCTGCACATGATCTGTGCTGTGCCTGATCTGGGTTAATTCTAACATCTAAATCTAACATCTGGATAATAGACTCTTTTATAATTTTTTACAATGCACTCATCCCTCTAATGATCCAGTTTAGTATTTTGTGAAGACCAGGCCACTGAGTAAGACCTATCAGTGCAAATAATTCCATTGTCTCTTCTCATAAGAAGGAAATCTCTACAGCAGGGAAAACTAGCCAAAAAAACCCTTCCCAATCCTTTTCACTGTAAAAACTGGGGAATAACTCTGGATATTCCAAACACTAAACAGATGTTTGACCAGTCATCTGTCATCTGTTTGTCTGTCTAGTGACCTCCAGAAGATATCATACCTACAATTCCAATAGCAATCTTAATTGAACCAATATTAAAACTATCCAAATTTAGCAAATTGTGTGAATGTTGGTGACATGGTTAAGCATGTTATCTGAACATAGCCATTTAGTAAATCCTATAAAAAGATACTCATTTCTGAGAGGATCTGTCTAGGTTTGTTGCTAATAGTTGACATCAACTTGATATCACATAACCCATCAGTTGATAGCTGTACAATAAAGGCCATTGTGGTCATTGTCTAAATCCAAGAGGGTGGAAAGAAGCATTGAATTCTCAATTAAGCATGGATTTCAATGAGAGTCATCCAAATCCAAAACCAATGTCTTAGATACTACCGTCCAGCATAGTCGATTTATCTGGCTTTGGTAACAGGGTATCCAGTGTACTGTTTTTTAGCTGGCATGTTTTGCTTTACATCAAAGATAGAGAACCTGTGGCTCTCCATATGATCCTGATTTATATTCACAGCATTTACCATTGATCGAGCTGGCTAAAAGTCCTGGGAATTGTATCTGAGCAACATTCCTTCAATCAGCCATACTTTGTGGGGACCTTGGTGCTCTCTGAGCTTGATAGTTTTCTTGCAGTCGTTTTATTACCACACTAGGTAACATCATCAGTTAGTCTAATTACCTTGCACTGATGCCTAGTTACGTTGTACTGATGTTGGGTAATGAAATGTCTGCAAGAAAACCACCAAGCTCACAGAGCACCAAGGTCCCTACAGTTCAGTCCTGCGCTATATATTTTCTATCAGCCATACTTTGTGTGGCTATGTGGTTTTCTATTGATTACAGACAAACTTGAAGGATTTTTAATGAATTTGATAGGAAACATTAGGCTAATCATCTCTCAAGAAAAACTGTCTATATGGCAGTTTTATATGGCAAGTGGACGAGCAGCAGCAAAGTGGATGAACTAAGTCACAATGTCTATGAATGCACAGTTGGAAAATCTGGAAAATCAGGTTAGGGACAGATCGTCATGGAGAAAATCTATGTGGTTGCTTGGCGTCAAAAGCGATTTGATGGCACATAATCAAATAAGAATGTAACTAATAAAATAAACATTGATCATTTTTATTAAATCCTTTGCAGGATATAAACTGATCCCTACAGTAATCCATTTTAGCATCTTTGTGAGTTATAGTTGAGTTTCCTTAACAGAATGCTATGCAAGCTTATTCAGTAGTTTCAGTGACTCTTGCTCTTTGAAAAAGTATATGCAGCATAATTATATATTATTATAATACATTCTTAGTATAATCTATAATGTTGAGTACAGCAAGCTTAACAAGTCCAGCAGCAACTTCATTATCATAAAATACTAAGTTTGATTAACCTAACTTTTTATTGTTTTATTGTGTTTTATTTGCATGATAAAGGCACTGGATTATTCATTGTATTGTGCACATTAAACAGACAGAGCATCTTACATGAAGCCACAAGAAACAATGGATTTCCCATTGCATTTTAACATTTATCCTACCTGCTCGGAGTTGTGGAATGCTGTTGAAGGGTCCACAATGCAATACAAGTTATCATTGTGGTGGTGGTTATTTAATGGCAAATGTTTTAAGTTTTATTCTCATGGTCTAACAGTTGCCTGCCTTTATAATTGTTAAGAAGATGCACCTGTTTTCTTGCTCTGCCATCACCCCTCATTAAATGCTGTCCCACTTTTTTTAGAAGAACCTCATTCCCTTTGTAATTGCCATTTATCAAGCCACAATAATTAGAAATGCAACTGAGATATCTCAGCATGGCTGTACAGCAATAGGTGAAAAAGCAGATGTAAAAAGCTTTGTCTCATGCAATTTTAAAAGGTAGAAAAAGCAATCACAGAAGAAACAGTTTATTTTGTCTTCCTTATTAAAATGAAAAACAAATGTATGGCTCTTACATTGTATATATAAGCACATTTGCAGAGAGAAGTTTGTGGGCATGTTTCAAAAATCTCAGAAGCTTGTGCTGTGACATGCAAAGAGGAAGAATGACTGGATTTTTTTGGTAGAGAAGGTTTTTTTTATATAGCTCCTTCTTTCTCGATTTAGCTGACTAACACAAATATTTGCCAAGTTGCATGAAATTGTTAACTGGTTAATTCAGTTTAAAATGCAAATTTTAGAAACTCCCCTCCCCTCCACACCCCTGGCTTTTTTAGCTGTCATTGTCTCCAAATCTTTGTCATCCTTTATTAGTGCAATCAGTAATCATGAGGACTGTCACTTATCAGATACCTAATGGAACTTAATTAAATTAAGTCTAAATTCACTTAAACGAAAAATAATCTTGAATAAATGCTTCCTTTCTTTCAAGATTATACCTGCACTGCGCTCCAAATTACATCCATCATCTGCTGCTTTATAAATGCAGGTAGTCCTTGACTTATGAAGTTACAACAGACTTCAAAAGTCCATAAAAGGGGTTTACAAGCTGGATTTGAAGTTCCAAAGTCTGCAGCCCTTCCCAGTCATGAGGCATTTTGTGGGTTTGGCATATATCCTGCATTTATGGCTGTTTCTGGTATCATGTGACCAAAATTTATGATATTTTTTGCTGGAAAATGCCATTCACTTTCACTGTTTGGCAAAAAAGCCACCTTCCCCTTGCCCCATGGCAGCACACAGGTCTTGAACACAAGCTTGCTAACCTCCAACCCAGCATCTTAACCATGTGAGCCACCGTGCTTTTTCCTTAAATTATTCCATTTTAAAGCGGTAAGAACAGTGCCATTCCATAGCCTTATGAGTGGGCTGAATGAAGGCTATGCAAAGTATGGGGAGGGATACTTTTCAACCACGTTTCCAATCCCAATTATGTAGAAGAGCCTTAGGTTTTTTTCTTAGGCCTCTTTCCTTGAGCTTCCCTTGGGTTTCTTCCATATTTCCTCAACCCACAAGTATTCCACAAAGTTTGAGTCCCACTCAAAAGGAATCGCAGACATCCTAACTCTTGTTTTCTCCAGTAAGCTAGATTTTATCTGAGGTTGGGAGAACGCCTACCGTGGCTGATTGTCTTGGTTGGATTTGTACATCTTCTGTCTCCACAGATGTGCAACGCATTAGGGGAGCCCATAAATCAAGCAAGTAACTAAGCAACAGAAGAGCACCATCATAATACTCAATCAGATATATGGGCTCAATCAAATTTGGCCATTGTACCAACATTGTTCTTAATCATTTTTCTAGGGTCCATAAGTGTTCTCACTCAGTGGTAGACAACTAGATGAGCCAAGAGCACTCTCCTCCCATAACTATCCCATGGGATAGTATTACTCATGTCTCACTGCATTTGCTTTAGCAACACAAACCTGGTCATTATGAAGCTCACTAAGAGATTATCATTTAATTGAATTTTACTCCTTTCTAACTCCTAATGACCCTACAGCATTAGGGCGTGGAGGATAAAGGAACAGGAAAGCAAGAATTGCTACCAATAGAGAAATATACATTTTTTTCCTGTTCAATTTCATCACTTTCAAAAGAGACAATTTTGCCATATGTTCTGATCCACAGAAATGAATTAGTACAGGTGCATATTAACAGGAACAGCATGAAATAATTGGGGGATGGTGACAATTTACTCTGGCACTAAAGCTGCATGTGAAAGTGCTCATAGGGCAGAGAATACGGCTTTTCTTAAGACATTTGTTCTTCTTTCTTTCGCTTTGCTGAATCATAATACATGTGAATTGAACACTGATTAAGAGTTGGAAGACACCACAAAGGTAATCTAGTCCAACCTCTTGCTCAGTGCAGGATCCATTGAAGCATCTCTGATAGCCCCTGTTTGAAGACCTGAGGTGAAGAAAAACCCACTGTGGCAGACTGTTCTACTAGCTTTTAGCTTATACAGTCAGAAGGACGGTAGAGATTCTCAGTCATCCAGGTCAGTCATCCAGCATTCCCAAGGTGCTTTGGGAAAGAAAGTCCAGTCGCCTCCCAACAAAAGAACCTTTAGGACAACCATGACTTGGATGACTGAGAATCTCTACAGCAGGGAGCCCCAAACTTGTCAACTTTAAGACTGATAGACTTCAATTCCTAGAATTCTCCAGCC